GAATAACCATCTAGTGACGGCAGCGCTTACTATCGTCGTGCCTGGTGGGCGCGCGTGAGACAGGCGCGAATTCTGAAGAACCACTCGTCCGCGGTGGACGCTACAGAGTCTCGGCTCGGCTACAAATTATATATTTTTGAAAGTGTTGCCGACTTTGACTGAGCACTCATAGCCGTCCCGTGGTTTTGGACAAACTCCCGTTCGTTTGTCCTGACGCGCGGCATGATGACGTCATATACGCAGGCGCCCGCTGTCTGGACGGGATTCGTCATTTTCGCGGGCATTACATTCACTTAGTTTTTGTATCTCTCATAAAGACGTGATCTGGTCATATCGACCTCCGTTTATTATTTCAGGAGGTGAGAGCCATTTAATTTTAAGAAGAAGAAAGAAGTTATTTACTATGTTTGACAGAAAAACCATTACCGTACACAAAACAATTATTACGAGAAATACAAAGTCAATATATTATTAAATAAGTTAAAAATCATATATTTCTTTTTATAAAATATATAAACTTTTGTTAATATCATCATATATAAAAATTTCAACTGCACGTCGAGACTTAGTCATGACAGCAAACATCTGCAGCATAAAATAACAGTAATAAAATAATACTTGCATAGTATGTTGAGCATAACATGTACGAACGTTTGATTATCGCGGTAGATTTGTTGCCTCAATACATCACATTCATCATGACACATTTGTATAAAATGTGGTGGGTACATTTGATGAAAACCCTCTCCATAATGCTCTCCATAGATCTAGTTTAATTTGATATGATCGTAAGCTAACTCTGTATAGATTATCCTTAGTCATCCTTTGTCAGTCTAGATGATACTCTTTTAATTTATGTGCATTCGACAAGAGAAATGTAGTTTTGTGGTTCAGGTTTGATTCTAATCAAAATACATTTTATTTATGCAATCGATTTAATATAAGTTGTGCAATTTTCTTTAAATACTCAGCGTTTTATGATGGCAGAACATGTTATGAAGCGACATTTCAAAAAACAGTCATAGGAAATTGATTAGATATACCATACACGATTAAAATACTGAAACAAGTTTTAAGATGTCTATTAATTTTGACAGATCTGACCTTAATAGACTTCCACCATGATTGCGCTATCATCATCCTAAATACAGATAAGATCATTGGTATAATACGTGGTACAATACGTCATACTTAATAGCAAACTTTAGATAGTTCTAGCACTTAGCGGAGTCATTTTATAATCCTAATTATGTCTCAATACTGTTCACCCGGAGCCCAATTTTAATAATTAAGAAACTGCAATGGGTATAATTTTTTATACAATCTGAAAGTATAAAATACAATGACTTTTGGTCTGAGATTGGATCTTAATGACTGTTGATTGCGATAAATGTATAAATTTCTAAATTACAAATCTTATTTCACATGAAAAGAAAGTACATTGATATTATATTTTGGATATGAAATGTGGGATAATAAATAGTAATCCATATTGTATTTTCCATTTTAAATTAATTTCTATGAAGATAAGATAAAGTAAGATTAGTTTAGTTTCAATCGAATTGATTCAGGTGAAAAAGAATTTATTTTATGTGAAAAAAATTTTGTATACTAATGGATAATAATTTATCTCATTTTTATAAAATTATACTTAAAATTACATTTCATCGTGATTTAAAGCAAGAACAATATCAGTCAATATCCTAATTATACAACATATACATATGTATACATATATCATTGACAATGTATTCTAAGCGTTTTCCATTTATATTGGCGGTCCAATTAATGAATAACACTTTCTTTAAAAAAAAAATACATATACATACAAAAAAATAGTAGCTCATGTAGAAATATAATAAATTCAATATTATTTGTAAAGAAATTAAAACATAAAACCATTAAATAATCTTACGCTGCAAAAAGTAGCCATAGTTAATGGAATAATTTTTCCTGCAGTGATGCGAAACGGTTGATGAGTTCGTATCATTAATATAATAAGATTTCTCGCCTCTCTTGATTCCAATTTGTACCATTCAAGATCACATATAGCACGATGTACTGCATTACACTTAACAAATAACATATGTGTACTGAGATATTAATCCCATCATAATTCAAACGAAGTTTATGTATAAAAATATTAGTAAAAATTAACTAGGATTTAATTGATTTTTATAGTTGATTAGAAGAAAAATCAGAAACAGCAGATAGTTCATTTAACTTAACTAATTAAATTTGCATTTTAATTAACGTTAACGTTTTTTAATAAAAATAATGTTTAATAGTACAATAATATAATGCTAATTTATGAGAATTATACAATTACATGTAAGGGAGACAGGAACTGACTTACTATTACAGGAACTGAGTTACTATTAGGTATTAAAAAAATATTGCTCTTAATGCATCATATAAATAAGTTATTTAATTTTAAATAAAACTGTAAAAATATATAACAATTAATCCCATATTCAAAGTTGATTGTCACATATTCCAGTAATATATTTTTTATGAATAAATTATACAAAAAATATAGTTTTTATTTTATATTTCAGGAAATAACAATAATTATAGTATTGATACAAGTAAAATAATTATTTAAAATATTTTAATTTTTATATTTAAAATAGTTTAGTTTTTATTTTTTTTTTAATATTTTAATTCATATATATTTAATTATATAAAAAAAATTCAGAAGGGTGATCGATTAAAATGAGAGATCCTGTATATACTGTATAACTTACATGCTCTATTATAAGCTCTCCTGCACCACAATACAGAAAAGTATTCATCAATAAAGCAATAACAAGAATTGTTGAATAGTAAACTTTTATGACAATAATATCATCCATTTTTTTATCAGTAAGAAACTAAAATGTGTACCTCATAGAAAATAAAGAAACATATATACAACATACTATATACTAAAATATTTTTTTCATTTTTTAAAAACTTGGAACTTACGACAGTAAATATAAAACCACTTAGGCAAAATACAATACCAAAATAAAATACCATTATTAGCATCATTAAAGAATATATATTTTCAATTTTTTCGGCGAATCTATAAGAATAAAAATAAAGTATAATCATATTAAAACCAAGAAAATTATACAAATATCTATAAATATATACGTAACACAGAAAAAACGTTTGTACAACATATTTGTGATAATAAAATCAGAAAAGAGTTTCTATAAATATATGTTCGAAAAATATGTTAGGTATATATAAATATATTTAAAACATTAATGTTTTTGTAAAATGTATATACCAATAGAGATTTCATAAATGAAACATTTTCAGACATATATTTATAAGAATCTTTTTTTCATTTTGACGTCAGAAATAAATTTTCAAATTTCTTTTTTATATATTCTATGTATACGGTACATTCTTTATACATCTAGAGTTTAAATATAAAATCGTTGACTCAATCATTTGCAATATTTTTAATCATTTGCGCATTTAAAATAAAAATAAATCAAAATTCTTAACAAATTAATGTAATTATGAAAGTATAAAAAAGTATAAATGTAATGATAATGTAATAAATTGTAAAATATATTCGTTCGTTGAATTCTTGCAAGGCAAACAATAGAAAATATGATATATTATTTAATAATACATAATCAAACATTAATATTTATATGTTATCTGAAAAAAATAATACATAATACTTAACATAAAAATAATAATACATAATAAAAACATAATACTTAAAGTTTAAAATCTTTTTTTATATAAAAAGATATTTTTTCTGTGGTATATTCCCAAACTTATTTTGTTAAACTTATTGTTGTCAATAAAAATTCGTACCTGATAAGTCGTAGATGAGTCGCTATAATATTATTTAGAACTTTGTTGAAATTTTTGCACGAAACCAAACTAAGTAATCGATATTTGAAGTTTTCTAACTGACCGCAAATGTGAAGAATTATTAGTATCAAAAGCATATCTACAGACATATAAATAATAGCTGCTAATAAGGTTGTTATGATATGAACAAAAAATGTCAATTCATATTGCGGACTCTTATCTGTATCGTAGAAATGAAACGTCTCCAGCGGTAACAATTTGCTCCGATTCGAAAAATTTGTATCGTACATTATTTGAATGCCAAAATAAGGAGGGATAATTACTGAGAGAAACCCTATTATCGCGAGAACATATCCAATTATCATAATAAAACGCGCTATTTGTGCTCGTTTTATCATCACATTTCTTTCTCCATCCAGTTTAAATGCCATCCAGTCTTCCGCTATCATATTCATAATTGACCAGAGAACTTGAAAATATAAATAAATATAAATGAAACATATATATTCTTAAGAATACAAAATGTTAACAATAAGATTGGAAACAAGATCGATTATGTTAAATACTTTAAATACTTTAAATACTTTAAATATTTTAAATACGAAGCGCCAAGCTTAATCAAGCGGTCTGAATGTTAAGATGTTGAACTATTATATATATTCATATAAATGAATTAATTTTAGAAATGATAATTGCGTGCCGATATGGTTGTCGGATTTTCAACGCAATCAATCTGACACTTTTGACTTTTTTAAGATTAATTTGGGGGGATTATTAATATTTCAGTGGCGTTTCGTATTTAAACTAATAAAATGTTAAACTATTTATAGGTATATGTTATTTAACTAAAAGGAAAATTATACATTTTTAAATTTATTTTGACATATGTTATAAGTATAAATCACACATATAATTTCTGATTTCTGATATTATTTTTATTATTTTTTCTAATCAACAGTATAATGTCACAAGAAAGCAATTCCTATACAGCACATAATTTCAAGGGACATCTTAAAGACATCCTAAAGATATTCTCAAGATGTCCCTTTGATAAACTGTGCTGTGTATGCGTTAGTAATATAATACAGTATTAAATATAATATTTTGTTTTAAATTAATTTTAGACATACCTGTTTGTTTCCATCGCAAGATAACATATTTCACAGATACTATCAGTA